TGTCTGACCCGACCTGACCTTATCAGGTCGGGTCAAGTCAATTACCCGACCCGACCCGACCTGTTCGGAGCTCTAATCTCAGCATCCAATAATCCAAATTTAATGAATAATTGCTTATTTTAAAGCTCTTATTACAGCGGTTCTAATGGATGTATTTTATAAAAATTTGATTGTTCTACATTAAGATATAATATTCCATTTATATTAATCAAATTTTACTATAAAATATGTAATACTTACGAATATTTCTAATATAAGAAGTATCATATTGCAGTTGACGTAATAATTCATGAATAATTCCTAAATAAATTATTTAATAAATTTTAGTATAAATTAAATGTTTTAAAAAAACATTATTTAATATATCCATTAAATTGCTTCCATATTGATATTGCAATCTTCTTTGTTTTTTATATATAGTAATTTAATTTTGTTGAATTGTTTAATGAGATGTGAAGATTATTAATTGAAGCAGTATTATTCAAATATATTTTTAAAATTTGTCTTAATTAAAAAGTTTAATTAATAAATTATAAAAATTCAATTTAAAAAAAATATTTAATAAGATATAATTAACCTGTTAATAATTTTCTTGCTGTAAGATCAAGTGTATCTTCATGTTTAATAATTTCATTAAGTTGCTTCAAAATATTAGATGGTGTAGTTACAGGAGGAGGGGGTAAGTGATTATGAATTTCTTTTGAAACTATAGCAATAAATGGACAATTTTCTAAATTATCTGGTATAAATGAATTCAATTGAACATTACACTTTTTAGTAATAATAGGTACTTCAATAACTATATTTCCAATTAAATGAGGAAATCCTGTTAAAAATATATAAAAAATAAAAAATTTGTAATTTGTAAATATTATATAATTAAATAAAAAGATGCTTATTATAAGTTATTTGTTTTGAAGAACAATGCAAAATTGTATTACATTTTTGCATTTGTAAACAATTTAAATCATTTCTCTACAAAATATTAATACTAATTAATAAATAAAAATAAATTTTTAAATTATAAAAATAAATTATATCTGTTCAAAGTCTTTAACAGAGCAAAAAATAAAGTTTTTGAATAATTCTTCCAAATATTCTGTATCAATTCTACTATCATTAATTGGAATATATCTATGTCCTCTTTGTGGATTTTTCCAATCCCAATTAACACATCCACTAAAAAATGCATTTCCAATAGCCTATTAATTTTTATAAACAAATTATTATTAAAATTAATTTTAAATACTTTATTAAAGATAATATTTATAAATACCAAATTTTTATGCTTT